AGACAGTGAGTTTTTTTTCAGCACTCTGGCCAAAAACATTGCCTACCCCTGTCCTAGACCCATTTAACCTATTAATAAGCCAACAAACTAACTTAATCTAAAATGCCCTTTAGCTGGGGCTTGTTTATTCCAGATAAAACCCCAAGATCTGAGACCAATTTTGACAGGCACATGATACCATCAGAATGATGCTTCCTTGGGAAAGCAAAACAAGAACAAACCTTCACTATACAGTACCCATCACCAGCTATGAAAAAGATAAGGAGAATTAGAAAGAACAAACTTGGGAAATGGGTTTCTATCTAATCAGACAGGAAAAAACTATTGAGTAGGACATGCCAGATAACTGTTTTTAAACACCTTTTAAAAGGAGAGTGACCTCACAAGAAGTTATAGCTTTTTTTCTGCCTAAGCCTGCAAATAGAATTTAAACAATGCTTTATGGTTTGCTCAGTAATTTTTCCTTTACATTTCTCTTCCCCTTTGTGGTAAGTTGAACATTGTTGAGTAACATTATTTGGATTGTTATACAAAACATCATAGTGAGCAACAATGAGAACACAATCCTGCAGCAACAGGGCAAGCAGTGGCATCAACTCCCACAGCTGCCAGAGCCACCATGCCCTCACAGCAGGGCCAGTTAACACCACTACCTCTCACCCCATTTCTGGACGTAGGGCATCTGGCCTATGAGGTCAAGTGAGTTTGACACCCCTGATCTAGAACAAACTATTGATCATATTACGTTTAATCCTGAACAAAACAACATCACATTATTGCTTCCATCTCTCTGCTGAAGACACTGAGAGTAAATTCTACATGATTTTCCAATCCAAGTCAATTAGCAAAAACACTATAAATGTTCCTTTTCATATGGATAACAGATACAGCAAAGTAAAATAAAACCAAGAGCAGAAACTCGCCTTCATACACTGCATGAAAGTTTGAAACAAGCAGCATGTTGTGCATAAATAACTAATAAAGTACCATGTCAGTCTACTAAATATTAAATCAACAGATTTATTAAAGGAGGTCCTTTCATTAGCTACTGTGTTTAATTCATCTAAAGGACTGGAGATTTAGTTTTGAGCATTTTAGTCAGATTTAGTTTACACCTGCTTGCTTCTCTACTGTCTCCTTTCAGGGAAAGTTCAGATGTTCCCTCACCTCTAGCTTATGTCAGCATACCTCTATTTAAAGACCACCACTAGGGGTGCACCAATAGAGATTTTTGGGGCCAAAACCGGTATCCGATTTTTAAAGAGGCATATTGGCTGATACTAATCTGATTTCTAATACAGCATGAAGAGCTGACTTGAGCTGGTAAACCCATTGTGGTGGAAAGGGAGGGGGTGCAGATCAATGCCCCCAACGCCATGAGGGAGGGGATAGGGGCAGGCGCATCCCAGGATGGGATGGAGCGGAGTGCAGGATGGAACCATGACTCATCAGGGGGGAAGGTGGCTCCCACCATTGTGTGCACTCCAGGAGGGCACAGGGGGGGCCACCAGCATGCGCCCCCGGATCTGTGTGGGGCAGGCTGGAGCTGGGGCTGTGTTGGGTTCTTCTTGCCAGGGGCTGGGCTCGGGGCGGGGGCTACGGAGTGGGCTGCAGCCACCCCAAATTTTGTTGTAGCTCCCTACCAGTGCTGCTGTGCGCCTGGCGCAGCCCGGGCTCTTCCCAGAGTGTCGGGGGAGGCAGGGGTTGAACTGGGGCTACGCCAGGCACGTGGCAGCGCTGGGAGGAAGCTACAGCGAAATTTGGGTTGGCTGCAGCCCCCTCCATAGCCCATGCCCCGAGCCCAGCCCCTGGCAAGAAGAGCCCGGTGCAGCCCTGGCTCCAGCCCGCAGCTGCAGCCTGCCCACTGCACGCAAATCCAGGCGCACATGGCCCCCATGCCCCCCCAGGGTGCATGCAGCAGCTGGAGCCACTCCTCTCCCTTTATTCATTTTTGAGTGTTAGTTTTTCACAGTAGTGCCTAAAGCACCTTTCTTTCTTCCCTAACATATCAAGGCACACTACCTAGAAACTTGCTAGAAAAATCGTTGTTTCTAGAGTTAGTATAACAAAGCAAACCAGCAAGTGAAAATGTGAGGATGCCAAGGAAAATGGTATAAACTCATAAAGCCATACAAAATTTAATCCACTGTATTTCCTCATCCTAGTTTATGTTTAGATTGCTTTAGAAAAATGAATAAGTAAATATAAGCCAAGACAAAAAAGATTTTCTTCTGCAGCATAAACAATACTAATTAGAATACACTGAGACCTGGGGGCTCCTAAATCCAAAATTAGGGACCTAATTTTATGCTCACAAGTTTGAAAATTATGACTAAGTGTTACTGTGTACACTACAGCACTAATTTTTCATTATATTTTTGTATTACCCATGTCAAGCTTCAACCAAGTTCTATAACCAAACAGTGTGCATCTCAAAATTGGTTACTATTTTCTTTGTTTAACTGTCTAACCCAATAATGCACACCCTTTTGGTCCTGTGGGCTAGATAATGGATAAGTAACATGGGGCTAATCAGCAGGCTGGATCCCACATGTAGTTGGCACACAGGGTAAGTCCACAAGGGCAATCTAGTGTAAACCCACACACCAACTTCAGCTGCAGAGCAACTCCACATGCCAGAATGATTCAGTGCACAGAGCCATGTCATCCAGCCTGCTGGGCTCCTTACAGGCTCAGAAAGTTGGTGGTGAAAGAGCAGTGGGTCTAAAAGCTGTGGTAATTAATGTTGCCACTGCTCCCCCATAGCCAAATTTCCATATTCCTGGGAAGTATCCATGGCCAGATGACATGGCCCCACAGGCTGGAGGTTAAGTACCACTTGTCTAACCTGCTTGAGTACAATATAAAGACTTTTATTACAAGATGGTACAACTTCAGTATCCATAGCTAATTTCAGAAGTAAAAAACGTGACAAGAAAACACAGCTTTCATTCTATTGTGTAAAAATCATTATTCTACAGATGCTTCTGCAAAGACTGGGTAAAATCCTACTCCATATTGCATACGTCCCTGAAAATCCATTAACTTGTCAACCATTGTATCATAAATCATCTTAAAAGTAAGATTTAAAAAAACAGTAAAGAGAAGAAGTACTCACCCATCTTTTGAGTTAGTGTGTTTTTAAAAAAACAAACAGAGCAGAATGGGACAATGTTAAGGCAACTAAAGTACACTCAAGTGCCTAACACACTGAACAGGATCTGGCCCACTGCGATCAGCAAATTAATGAAGTAGAACTACTGTGAAAGAGATACTAGCTAGTACTGCAGCTTCTGAGGGACACAGTGTAATATCAATAACTATATTAGCATACTATTAAGAAAATCCTAAAACTAAGAAAGAAGTTGCCGACTGCCTCCTGATGCTTCCTAATGGTACTTTTTCCAGTATTTTGGCCAGCCTAATATTAAACAACACAAAGACACTTCCAGCACTTCCAACATATAAAACGTGAACATGCATTAGTTATAAGCATTGTTCAAACAAATATTTGTGCAATCTAAAGCTGAAATAAATTATCTCAAGTAACCGCAAGGTGAGCTGCCTCTAAAGAAGACTTGTGTTCAGCCTCACCTATGACATTTACTTCAATTTACAGTTCAAGTGACAAACACGTAACAAAAACCAGGCTAAATGAAAGATAAAGGCAGCCTAACTTCAGTCACAAAAAGTACTCAGGAGGTAGAGGGCTGTGCAAATTTCTCCACATGGAGAGACTCGTTTTAGGATCTGGAAACTATATGCCTATAGGGAACAGGAGCCAGTTGGGAGAACTGAGAAACAGATTTGTTTAAAAATGCGTTAATAAATTAGACACCCAAGGAGAGTAGGTGGTTAATGAGAAAATACCCTCAGTATTAATCTGGGGAAGACGAGAGACTAACAGTGGAGGTACCTGAAACCAGCTTATATAGTCTCTTCTATATCCTTATCCGTCTTCTGTCAATGTATCATAGACCTGAGACTGAAGTACTTAAAAAGCTGAATGCATTAAAGTGTATTAAACAAAAAGCTGGTTGATTTGATGACCAAACCTATACTATTCATATTACTTTGAGTGTTTGGATTTGTATTTAAAACAATCATAAAAGCATGAATCCTGTCTTGCATTTAAGACAATGCAGATCAAATTCCTCCCCTTAGACAAGGAACATCCATGTGGCAACTACAGACACATTTTATAGTTTCAAAGTTGGTAGGGTTGGAAGGGACCTCAGCAGCTGATCAAGTCTGATCCCCTGCCATGGCAGGAAAGAGTACTGGGGTCAAACGACCCCAGCAAGGTGTTCATCCAGCCTCCTTTTAAAGACCCCTGGGGTAGGAGACAGCACCACTTCTCTTGGAGGTTGGTTCCAGATCCTAGCCACCCTGACAGTGAAGTAGCGCCTCCTGATGTCTAGCCTGAATCTATCCCCTGCCAGCTTGTGACCGTTATTTCTTGTCACTCCTGGTAGTGCTTGGGGAAACAGGGACTCTCCCAATGTCTGCTGGTCCCCCCGGACTAGTTTGTAAACAGCCACTAGATCCCCCCTCAACCTTCTCTTGTGAAGGCTGAACAGGTTCAGGTCCTGTAGCCTCTCCTCTTGATCCCTGATCATGCAGGTGGCCCTCCTCTGGACCCTCTCCATGTTGTCCACATCCCTCCTGAAGTGCATTTTAATGGAAGGGTAATTAATTAAGTTTCTTTTAATGCTGTTTTACAACAGGCAACGGAGAGAGAGAAATCACAAAAGACTAGGTCTCCAAAGATCACCAGCAAATGCTACGCAAACCAGCTCATCAGAGTTTAGGAACAGCGATATAAACAAAAACAACTTCATAAGAAGTCTATTATTAAGGCAAAAACCCCTGGAAGAAATCCCTTGAAAGATGATCAATTTAACATTGCCACATTTATTTGAACGGTTAAGTGCTATACAGAAGTAGATTATGCTGTCCAAATATTAGACAATTGTTTCCATGAAAGACCGAATGCGTACCATTTGACAGCCAAATTTTGCACCTCGCCATTCTTATCCTCTAGTAATTTTAGAATCATCTTCACCACCTTCCTCTCACTGTCATCATCGAGCTTGATGGAATCTTTCTGTAATTCTGTCATCAGGTCATTTGTAGCCATAAACCTGCACAAAAGAAAAATCAAACCATTGTGTCATAAATAGCCTGCATCCATTTAACTATACAGTTCAAGATTATGTTTTCTTCATGCCTGATGAAATTTAGTCTATTTAAAACTATATTAATATTACCAGTTAGAAGTATTATTACAGGGTCAGAAGCACTATTTTTAACTACTTATACTGGGGAAAAAAGCTAATTCAAGAAAAATCACTTATAGTATTTCTCATACATCAAGAACATTTATGTTGAAGTTTTCCCTAAGAACAAGGGGAAGTACAACCTTTATTTTTAGTGTTTACATTATTTTAGAGATTAGAGGTCTACAGAGAGAATAAAAAGCACAGGTTAAGAATGGAATCCATTCCTAGTCTTAAAGCAATACTGTGAATGGCTTCAGATATTTTGTAAAAAAAAAAAAAAAAACTTTTCCAAATCTAAAACCAAAAAAAAGCATCACCACAGGTCTAACTGTGCAAAACTAACTGAAGCAAAACCTAACTGAAGACAAGATCATTAAACTGTTTTACACTTATCTTTTGTATTTTCTTTCTCCTAGATATAGATTTCTCAGGCCTAAAACATGGTCATTTACACATTTTTCAGTACCTAGTCTTGATTTCCCAGGCTCCTGTGGAGAAGACTACCAAATTCTGTGTTTAATTATGATCTGTGGGCCAGAATGTATAGAACTCAAGTGAAGAAAGCGGTATTTATTTGTAACTAATCATTTACCAATTTGTTCTATGTTCATTAATTCCTGCAAAAATTACCTGTTAGGACCCCAGTACATATGCCTTATATTTCTCCTCTTTGTCTACATTTCTTCTTCATTCTGCAACTGCATCTACTTTGAGTTTCAAACTGGTAGCTTCTCTACCAGTGGTTTTCCACTTTTCATTTGTAGACCCCTAAAAAATTTCAAATGAAGGTGCGGACTCCTTTGGAAATGTCAAATGGAGGTGGTGACTCCTCTGAATTGTAAGTGCGGTATTCACATACTTTTGATTGATCACAGGCATCTTTCACAGACCCCTTAAGACACAGTTTGCGGACCCCCGAGGGTCCACGGACCACAGGTTGAAAACGACTCTTCTATACCGTCACACGCTATCATTTAACTAGCTAAATGGTCAACACTTAAGCACTTAATGCTGATATTTGGGCTTTAAATACTTCAGTGGGACTCAGGCAGACATCTCAGCATCATCCAAACTCAGGTCACACCTGGAAAGTTACCTCTACAGCTTTAAATACAGAGATGAAGTAGAACACACTTCCTCATGCAGTCTTGATTTGCTCCGTCCCACTGAAGCCAATCCTAACTTGGGAGGGACCAGATGAGCCAAAAATAGCTAAATGATTAGTCTCAACAGGACCTGCATTTAAGCAGAACCAGGAAAACAGCTGGAGACAAAGTCAAAATTGAAAAGCAAAGAAAATGGAAGAGTAGGATGGTAACATGGACACAAGCAAGACAGTTGAGCACTTAGGCATGCATTCAATAAAATAAAATCCAGTTTCTGACTACCTTTCACTTCCTTCCTCTAACTCCACTTGATACGCGGTGTTTTTCTGGCTCATTTCCTGATCAACCACATCTACTTCCCAGGCCTGATTAACCTCAGATTTTCTCAATCTTTATCCACCAACAACTCAACTTATGCTCTCTCAGTCCAGCAACAGCTTCCTCTTCAAAACTGTAAGACAAGAGCCCTCCACCCTGTCTTCCATGTAACATATACATGAAGTGACAATTTCAATCATATACAACTAGGAAAAATAACTGGCATTTAAAACCCTAGTCTTCCACAGTTTGGGCCTGGTTTTTCATCACAGCCCCCTTTCTTCCCCAGACATGCTGTACTCAACATGGCCTGAAGAGGACAATCAGGCAGCTATGTCCCAATAACTGCAATAGATCACACTTACCAGTTTTCAGCTCTATTTCCTGAGGAACAGTGTGTGCCTGCTTTAGCAGGGATGATGGCCTTGTAGTAAGGGCAACTAATAGAAAAAGAAAAAAATGTATCCCAAGCTCACCAAAGAAAAGCCCAAATTATATTACTGCCCAGGAGCTTTGAAAGCTCATAAGTGCCTTTGGAGAATAAACTAATCACAAATGATGGATAATTTAGATTTAAACTGAATCTTAATTTTTTAGATAGGTAAACTGTTACTTATTCATTACTTTCACAAGGCATTTTCTAACTTAGTTTGTTAGTTCTGCTTTTTCTTGATAGCATGTTTACATCTAAATCAGGAGTAGACAACCCCCCACACAGGTGCCAGAGTGTGGCAAACAAAAGCATTTTACTTGGCACACGCACCGCAGGACAGATGACAGGGAAGGGGCTGGGGATGCACTGCCACAACAAGGATTGGATCTTAGAAGTCGAGGTTGCAGGTGCTTTTCGGACTCTACCCAAAAACTTTGCTGACCCCTGATCTAAACTGTCATTCTTTCAATGGCTATGTTCTCTGAACTACTCAACACCCTATAGCATCAAGGAACTGTAAGAAAACTGACCTTTAACACAAAGACTTGGTTCTGCATGCAAATACATGACAAACTCAGTGTATCTCAATTCTTAATCATATATCTTGTAGTTTGCAAATTCAAAGAGGCTAATCAAAAGTTAAAAAATATAAAAACCACATAAACACTTTCAGCAAGTGTACATACACCTTTTGAGGTACAAAATACCTAGTGCAGAACTTCTACTCCTCAATTAATGCCTAATAAGCTTTAGCTACTTTTTTCTTTTGCTTTCAATTTCAGCCAAATATGTCTGGTCCCACACAGGTCATTTTTGGGCAAAATATTGAAGCCCAATCAAACCTGTATTTAGTAGTCATATGACTAGACCGCTCCAGAAGTTACTCACCACAAAAATCTAAGAAAACTTACTTTAATCACATGTAAAGAACAAGTTTGGGAAAGGCTGCCTAAATTTAAAAAAGCTCAAGAGATAAGGTTTAAGAGAAACCATTCTCAAGGATTAAAATGTTATTGTTAAAATACTAGCTTTCAAGTAATTTAGAAGACTATTAAATACTAATATACTTTCCTTTGTAAAGGTATAGCCTAAATCTAGGCCATTTTTACGACCTTCTACTGTGAACTGGAAAGAGACTCCCCTCGCTATCTAATGGTGAAATCCAATCACAAGTCCCTAATGTTACAACTGCTCCAAGAAGACACAGATAAAACACATATACCTGTAAACCAGAGCCCACAGACCAGCTCTTTCCTACTACACAGAAAAAACACTCTGAAGCAGTCTGGTTAGGAAGCACGTGCTCCCGCAGCGACTATAAGCCGAGTGCTAAAGTTCGGTGCAATACAAGAGAACCAGAAAGCCGCCTTGTTTTCATTCACGTCTAGAATTTTTTAAAACATCTAATATATTTTCCACTGTCCGCAGCAGGAAGCAGACCCGCCACTTTAATTTTTCTGAGGCATTTAACCCCAACACCAAACTTTATTTATTAGGCTCAAAATAAGATTTTAACCTAAAACCTTCAAGCAGCTGAACCCTTTGGCTTCCTGCTACTGGCTCCAGAGGTTTGTTTTCTTTTTCGAAAGAGGGGGGGAGGGGGAAGCCACCTTCACCCCTGTCACAAGTTTCTGATTAAAGGGTGGCAGTGCCAAGTCCTGCGCCACCCTCTGCACTCCCCCTTCACACAGGACGAGCCTTTGGAGGGCTCCAGACGGGACTGTCAGGGCAGCCGGTGGCCTTTGGGGCGGTGAAGGTCTCAATGCCTCCACAGGCCGCTCCCGCAGCGCTTGCCTGGGCCGCGAGACCGCCGCAGCGCGAGGGCGGAGCGGGAGCAGGCCCGGACCGCAGACGCGCGGGGCCTCCCGGAGCAGGGTACGGCGAGCCGCCCAGAGGGCTGGGGGCGGGGCGGGGC